GCAAGTTCTCTGAAGCAGCCTCCTGTCTCTGGGTAGAGTGAACTCAAAGCTAATCTCTCTTGTTGGCCCTGGCACAGTTGTGCCCGCCTGGCGTGGGATTCTCACTGCATCGCCCCCATGTGCATGTGGCTGAAGCTTTGTCAGACCCACAGCTCTCACCTGTGGCCCCTGTTCAGCTCAGCCTGGGCACCCGGCCATCCCTTGCAATTCCCTGTGCTGTTCCTTCACAGAGCTGGTCCCTGCCCCACCTCACCTTGCTAGTCCAGCCTGGCACCTTTCCCGGGCACAGCTGCTGCGCTGCCTGCTCGAGTGTGTTACACAGAGATCTGGCCTTGTGCCTCGTCTTTGTTCGGGGGCAGGATGTCCGTTTCTCTTCTCTCATTCACGTGGCTCCCGCACGCACAAGCCAACAAGGCCCCATCGTGTCTGGGTGGGAAAGGGGCTGAAAAGCAAGGCAAGAAGCGAGAGCCGGTGAGGTTTCCTAGTAAAAAGGGTGGGAAGAGGCTGGAGAACGAACTAGGGGTGGGAAAGGCTGGAGAGTCGGGGAGTATGTGTTAATTTGCACCTGTCCCCAGCGCTGCAAGCAATATCTGCATGCATCTGAAAATGACACCGTGATGAATGGGACACAAACGCATCTTTTATTGCCTCCACGGCACACAAGTGCACGCTCTCGCCTCTCCAAAGGGACTGGTGGACAGCCGGATGAAGGAATTCATAAGATTTGTTCGGCAGCCATTTTTCCTTTCTCTCCTGTAATAGGATCTGCAGAAATAATTTAAAGACCTGAAAGGTAATTTAGTATTTTCTTTTCTTTCTCCTCCCTCCCCCCGCCACACATCCTACAAGTTCACTAGGTATCCTCTAGATGAATTAATCCTAAGATAAAATATTATTTCTGGAGTTTATTCATCTCATTTATTAACTGTTTGCAGTTTTATTCACAGGGTTGTAGATTAACTCTGAAAGAAGTTACTATATGGAGTTTCCGCTCACTCAGTGGCTTTAATTTTCTGTTCATCTTCTTTTTTTAGATGTGTTTCTTCATAAACTAAGTTTTCATGAGACGCGGCTAATACTCTGCAGAACCACAAAGCTATAGCCTGTCATCTTTAGGACATAGTGACCGTCTAATACCGTGGTCACCAACCAGTAGATCGCGATCTACCAGTAGATCTCAGGGGCTCTAAGAGTAGCTCTTGAGCCCTCTCTGAACTGCATACCTGCACAGTACATTTACATTAGATTTCCTCATGTAATCTAGGCGGGGCTTCAAGGAAGGGGAGGGGCAGTAGATCTTCGCCTGTTCTGAGACTTAAAAAGTGATCTTGGGTGTAAAAAGGTTGGAGACCACTGGTCTAACACCTAACAGGAATCAATAGCAAACGTCCCTGTAAACGCGATCCCGCCCCATCCAGGGGACAGGAAATGAAAGGATTTCACATCTGCCATTGAAGCTACAGGCTAGAATCTGCACCAAATGCCAGGCCCATGCCTTGGCAGTGCAATGGGTGCGTTGCTGATTTGCATCAGGTACAGAGCAGTGAAAGACTCTGGGTGTCCTCTGCCAGCCCCCTGCTGTTGCTTCCACCTCCCCTGCCCCCCCCCCATGGCAGCAGGCATGCTGGTCCCATGAGAGCACTGCTCCACCTATGCTGATGTTACTGACACTGGCTATGTTTGCGGTTTGGCTGTGTAGACATACCCTTATTTCGAAATAACTTTACTAGCCTCTACACAGCCAAACCGCTATTTGTTTTTCTTCACACAGCGCTGTGTCAACCTGTGGAACTCCTTGCCAGAGGAGGTTGTGAAGACAAGGACTTTAACAGGGTTCATAGAAGAACTAGATCAATTCATGGAGGTTAGATCCATCAATGGCTATTAGCCAGGATGGGCAGGAATGGTGTCCCTACCTCTGTCTGTCAGGGGCTGGGAATGGGCGACAGGGAATGGATCATGTGAGGATTACGTGTTGGGTTCCCTCCCTCTAGGGCATCTGGCATTGGCTGCTGTTGGCAGCCAGGACACTGGGCGAGATGAACCTTTGGTCTGACCCAGTCTGGCCATTCTCCTGTTGCCAGGTAATGTTCACAAGCTAAGCACTGCCTTGCTGCTGGCCACAATTCCTAGCACGTCCTCACAGCACCACTCTCTCTTTTGCCAAGTCCCCAGGCTAGATCACTTTGCCCACTGCTGCTCCCTTGGACTGATCACTTTGCCCCCAGCCCCTCCTCATTCCAGTCTTTCCTGAGACTCACTTCCTCCATGAGGCCACAAACTAACCCATCTCCAGCAGCTTTGCCACATCAGTAGCATGGGAGGCAAGTTTCTCAATACGTACGGCCAGAAAAGTCTAATGCAGCCAGCCTAGGAGGGCGGTTACTGAGTTCAGCAGAGTCGCGTTCTCAGCGTACACACAGAAAAGTTAGGTGAAACAAATACGCCTGCTGGAAGGTTGCAACACAATGCTGCTTTATTTCTCTGTGTGCAGAATGCTAACACTCAAGAACCCAAACAGACACCCGCAAAGCGGGCTGCTCCCTGAAGCAGAGGCACAGATCTCTACTGACTCTAGAGCAGGGCCAGGGCTGCTGACCCACAGAACAATCAGTCAGGGGGGGCCACACACAAGTGAGAAGCCCCGACTGAGGAAGAGCAAGACACGCCTCACGTTCCCCTTGAACGCCAGAGCCAAGCTGGGGGAGGAGGGGCGCAGGCATGTAGGTTTTGTGTGTCCCAGCCCTGCGGTTGGGTGGCTAGAGCCCCAGTGCCGAGCCTCGGGAGCTAGGTCCAGGCAAGCTTGCGGGGGGAGGAGGGAGGCTCATCCGGCCTCCGGGCTAGAGGGTTCCCCACCCCTGCTCTAGGCAGTCTGCTGACTGTGTTTGATCACTGATGTTCCTATACAGCCCCCAGCCTACAAGCAGGACCTGGAAAACGCCTTACGAAAAAGTGCTGGTCTACAATTCCAGCCTTCTTCTCTCAAGGGTCTGTTTTGGGACCCGTACTGTTCAATATCTTCATCAATGATGTAGATATTGGGATAGAGAGTACTCTTATTAAGTTTGCAGATGATACCAAACTGGGTGGGGTTGCAACTTCTTTGGAGGATAGGGACATAATTCAAAATGACCTTAGCAAGTTAGAGAAATGGTCGGAGGTAAACAGGATGAGGTTTAATAAGGAGAAATGCAGAGTGCTCCACTTAGGAAGGAACAATCAGTTCCATACATACAAGATGGGAAGCGACTGTCTAGGAAGGAGCATGGCGGAAAGGGATCTAGGGGTCATAGTGGACCACTAGTTGAATATGAGTCAACAGTGTGATGCTGTTGCAAAAAAAGCAAATATGATTTTAGGTTGTATCAACAGGTGTGTTGTAAGCAAAACTCGTGAAGTCATTCTGCCGCTCTATTCTGCACTAGTTAGGCCTCAGCTGGAGTACTGTGTCCAGTTCTGGGTGCCACATTTCAAGAAAGATGTGGAGAAATTGGAAAGGGTACAGAGAAGAGCGACAAGAATGATTAAAGGTTTAGAGAACATGACCTATGAAGCCAGGCTTCATGAACTGGGCTTGTTTAGTTTGGAAAAAAGAAGATTAAGGGGGGACATGATAGCGGTTTTCAAATATCCAAAAGGGTGTCACAAGGAGGAAGGAGAAAATTTGTTCCTCTTGGTTTCTGAGGACAGGACAAGGAGTAATGGGGTTAAAGTGCAGCAGGAGAGGTTTAGATTGGACATTAGGAAAAAATTCCTAACTGTCAGGGTGGTCAAATATTGGAATAAATTGCCAAGGGGCATTTGCGGCATCCGAGCGCACTGCAGGAGGTGTTACTGGGAGAGGACAGGGCATGCTCAGTAACAGCATTTCAAACTGGCTCTCTCACAGGAGGCTGATCACAACATTGCCTGGCCTCCCTAGAACACTGGGACAAAACTCCGAAGGCCAGGAACTGGGCTGCCTTCGAGTCTGTCACAAGAGTGGCTGTGCCTGGCGAGGGGCTGCCCTACGGGGAACTCAGCCTGGAGCTCCCGGGATGGTTTGTCCGGTTCTTGGCTGTGCTGGGCAGGGGGGTTGGTCTGTGGCCCAGGAGCGAGGCTGGCTTGGTCCATGCAGAGGGCAGGTAACATCAAGGAGGGGTTTCAGTGTGTGGGGAATGGGGAACGGCATGTGAGGGAGGGCAGGCAGATGATGAAGTGAAGCCCACGCAGGCAGCCTGACCCCAGGGATTAGTCAGGGGAGCCACGGCTGGGCCTGGGCTTGGCAGCAGCTGGGAGTGCTCCAGAGCAAACTGGTACTCACCGCCCTGCGCCAGGCACCAGCGTGTCTCTAATCAGATGGAAGCACCCCAGTGCAGAGAGTGGTGGCGGCTGCTCGCTGACCAACAAGGTTTCATGGAGGTTAGGTCCATAAAAGGCTATTAGCCAGGGGATAAAATGGTGTCTCTGGCCTCTGTTTGCCAGAGGCTGGAGAGGGATGGCAAGAGACAAATCGTTTGATCATTGTCTTCGGTCCACCCTCTCTGGGGTACCTGGTGCTGGGCCCTGTCGGCAGACAGGATACTGGGCTAGATGGACCTTTGGTCTGACCCAGTACAGCCGTTCTTATGTAACAAGCAGCCCTGCAGCCCAGTGTTTCATGTGGCATCCCAGGAGCTTCTTTAAGGACGGCTGCTTTGTCCTGGTTCTGTGCCATGCACGCACGCAAATGGCTCCGAGGAAGCTGCTGAGTAACAGGTCACTAGCAGCAGAGTGGGAGCGAGTGAGCCTGTCACTGGAGAAACAGTGACTGGCCCTGCAGCACCTTAGAGACCAACAAACCATGTCGCTGGGATCAGGAGCTTCTTCAGGTGAGGTCACTAGCAGAGACTCCAGCATTTTCACGGGACTTTTCTTAGAGTATTTCACAACTCTGTGTGTGTTACTGTGGAGGATTTTATTTTGAAAACTGGCCCCTGCTCACAGGGGCTCTGAAGATGCTTGTCATGTGGGTGGTGCCCAGCAGATGTGTCCAGCCCTTCTGTGCTGGCTGCTGACTTGTCTGTTGGAGAGAAGGCAATCTGCATGGTGTGGCGCTTCCGTTGTGCTGGCCGCTCTCCTTTCTCCTCCTCCCGTTTTTACCTAGGGGCTGACTGAAGGCCACACACAGAATGGAAGGGTATGGGTGCAGGGGCGAGGACTTAGGCCTGCCTGAGTTAAGGTAGCTCACGCAACCCGATCTCCTCCCCCTGCTCTGTATGCATAGCCAAAAGAGCCCTGTGAGGACATGAATGTCTACCCAGTGACAGACATGGGCTGCCGCTTCCAGGAGCTAGTGCACAGCTCCAGGAGCCACTGCACTGCACCAGCAGCTCCTCTTGGCCAGCCCCACCCCAGACGCATCTCCTGTGTGGGTGGTATCGCCCCGCTGACAACGGGCCAGCCACACAGCTCGGAAGAACTGCTGGCGCGGGGAGGCTCATCTCCTTTGGCCACAGCATCTCCCGGGAGCAGAGCCCTGCGGATCAGTGCATACCGCGTGTGTCTGCAGCTATCTGCATCAGTGGGCAGACGTTTGTATCCGCACAGGGCTCTAGTAATCAACTGAAGTAAATGGCGCTGTGCTGATTTACATAGGAACATCAGAATGGCCAGACTGGGTCAGACCAAAAGTCCATCCAGCTCAGTGTCCTGTCTGCCCACAGTGGCCAATACCTGATGCCCTAGAGGGAGGGAACACCACAGGTAATCCTCACGTGATCCCTCCCGTCACCCACCTCCAGAGA